AAGAGAGGCTGAGAAGGAATCAAGATGTTCTTTTATCTATATTTTGTTGGTATTAGAGATGGAACTTAGGGCTTCAGGCTTTCTTGGCTTGTATGTGAGGTGGTGCTTGACCAGATGAAACACATCTTTAACTCAATGTGGTATGCATATACAATGTAATTTTACTCATCTGTTAGAAAGAATGATATTGCATCATTTGCAAAGAAATGGAAGGAGCTGAGAAAACATGTTAAGTGAAGTAGGTGAGGCCCAAAGAGATAAAGGTTATCATGTGTGGGAGCTAGAATTAGTTTATAAATATGTAAGTAAATAACTTGGGTGCTATGCAAGTAGACACTAATGTATTAACTGAAATAGGGTAGAATCCGGGGAAAGCTCAAACAGTGTAATTCTTAGAGAGGCGAAATCATAATACAGCAAAATAAACACAAGGAAAGGGATACTTGAAAGGGGAAGCATGGGGTAAAGGAGAGGGCTAGACAAATAAAGAGAGAAAAGGGGAGAATGCAGTAAAAATTTAATGTATGTCCTACAAAGTTAAGAATAGTCAGGGAGGGGCTATGTTGGGAGGAATGTGAGAGAATGTTGAATGGGGTGACATTGATCAAGACACATTGTCATAAAAAAAGAAAAAACAAAACAAAAAACTTCTTAGGAAGTGGTGCTGTGGTTCAAGTTCTAGAGTCCTTGCTTTGTGCTGAAGAGCTGAGGGATAGCACCCAGGCCCAGAGTTTAAGCCCTGCAACCAACAACAAAAAAAACTTCTTAAAGAAACAGATGAAGAACTAACACTGTGGCTAAAGAGGTAGCAAGCTTGCCTTGAGCTGAAGAGCTCAGGGACAGCTTCCAGATCCAGAGTTCAAGCCCACAACTGCCAAAAAAAAAAAAAAAAAAGTACAGAAAAATAACCCCACCCAACCCCTTTCCTAAAAAAGAAAGAAATAGATGCATAATCACATGAAGTGGATTGCTAGGCTTGAGAATAAGAAGGAAGAATCAATGTTTGTTTGCTTAAGCAATATTTGAGGCAAAGTATGGTGGCTCATGCCTGTGTTCTGCGCTATTGAAAAGGCAGAGATGGGGAAATTCTAGATTTGAGAATAACCTAGCCAAAAAAGTTCATGTAACCTCTATGTCAAACAATAAGCCAAGTGTTATGGTTCACATCTGTGAACATAAGTAGTTGTGAACATAAGTAGTATCACAGTCCAAGGACGGTATGGTTAAAAACATGGAATTTTACCTGGAAAAAAGTAAGGCAATAAAACAAATTTATTTGTGTGTGTGTGTATACATATATATATGCATATATCTGTGCATTTATATATTTATACATATATAAATGTATATTTAATTTTAACTTAAAATTTTAACTTAAAATTTTACCAGAATTTCTATTATAAGGATGTATGACACAAATGCAACTTACTGAGACAGAATCACTAACAGAAGTTATATATATATTTAAGAGTGAGGTAGCCCGGTAGGGATAAGGATGATGAAAGAATAGTTTAGTGATGAAATGGTATGTTCAGAGAAGGATGGAAAAAAATAAAACAGGAAGATTTTCATGATAAATTTCAACAGTTTCGGAAGGCTCAGACCAACAGAGTTGTGTGACATATGAATTTTACAAGTTACTCCTGTAAAATCTTTCTCTGGTAAGAGCAATATACTTTTTCCCCAAATCTAACATCCTAGCTGCTAAGCTACACATGACTATTAAGCGTGTACAAAAACACAGCACGGAGCAACTCTACTGTAGAACAAGACATGTCATACCTTAAGCAGTTTACTCTGGGCTACTATTTTGGACAGGCTCTTTGTGGATAGCTTTTACACTTAGTACATTATTTTCTACTAATCTATAATGCAGTTACCTTCTTGTATTACACTTACTTTTTGAAAAAAGGGGGATATCATATTAAATATTACTGTAATGTTTGATGTCTAATGGAGGGGTAGCCCTCCTATCATTTAGAAAGTACCATAATTTAGATAAATAAGTCATGCTGCTTTTGTTTGTGATATTCCCTGTAGCTAGAATTAAATAATGCTGTCAAAGGGCAATGCTAGTGTTTGATGGCCTTTAATATTTCCATCCATATCAAAGACTAAATAAATGCAATCAATATTTTTCAATTCCTAGCTCTCTAGTAATTATTCCAATAAAGAGATATTCATGCTACCAAGCATCAATATGTGCTCTTCATTGCCCTAATAAATCTGCCTCCAGAAAATAAACCATGTTCATCTAGGGCTTTAGAAAGAATATTAGCAAACACAAAGTTCAGAATGTGATTAACCAACTCCTCATCACAAGGGGCTTACAAAGTATGGATTTTAAAACCCAGACACTTAATGAGAACTATCAAGAAGTAAGAATCATATCCCCAAAGGTATAGCACTTTTTTGTTTGGTGGTTCCTTAATCAAATATCTGAAATGAGAATTTGAAATAGCATTGGCTATTTATAAGTCATTTTATAAATTACTACCATCTAAAATAAAATCAACTTTATTGGCTGATTCTATTTTGAAGATAAACACAAATCATCACAAAAGCCCTGGTACTGGTTTTATTTCCTTATGACAAATGAATAAACTTTGACTTCTAGAGGCTGGCTAAAGCACTATGTCTGTATTGGGAAGGGTATAGTAGTTTTCAAGTTTGACTCCATATCCAGACTTCTTATTCCTAACATTTTAAGTACACATGAAATGCTGGTTAAATATTAAGAACAGTCAGTAAGGTTTGTTAATAGGTGGTGGTTGACAGCATCCCACAAACCTTTCGTAGTGAGTTTTGAAAAAAAAATTCTACATTTATCCAAGGTATAGTTTCTCTTTTGTAGTTTATTTTGTAGTGCTATGATTAAACATAGGGCTTTGAATATCTGCTAGACAAATGTTTTACCCTTTAGCTACATCCCTAGTCCTCTTGGTGACTTTCAATTAGCTTGATCTGTTACATAGACTTTCACTATTAAATGTTAGCAATGTTACACAGTCAAAATCTTTCTCTAAGATTATATAAGTAAAAAAAAAAAAAAAACCACAAAAATGTTTTCAACATTCCACTCATTCAAGAACTATTTGGCTCTGTCTCCTTTTTCATCTTCTGCTTCTCATTACACTTTTTTTCCCTTTCACTTCTCCATTCTTCTGCCATTCCCTCATCCTCCCTCCCCAGCCTGCACACACCCACACCAACAATTAGCAGAGTTCTCATGCCATTTGCATATCCAGCTGTCTAAGAAATATCAACAACAGAAGACATAGGAGAGAATTTCATCATATTATAAAATTATTGGCATTGATATTAATTTATCACTAAATATTGTTTTAAAGAAATATTCATTGCTTGCTACATACATTTTTGTTTATTAATCTTTTTCTACTTTCTTCTTTTATTTTCTCCCTCCCTTCCTTTTAATAAAAAGTTATATATGGTATATGCCTTACTTCTGTTAGCACTAATGGATCCTGCTTTTAAAAAAATACAGATTTTATTTGCCCTTAAAATACATCAAACAGGCTATTTTATTGGATCTTTTTCTGCTTAATCAGTTGTACCTGCATGATATAACATTTCACACTACTTTATTATCAAGATGAAAGAGTATATTTAAGACCTAAGTGGAACACAGAGAGGAAGACATGAACTTGGGCCTCAATTAGGCCCCAAGTTATTCATTGTAGCAATTACAGATTTTAGAAGATATTCTACAAGAAAAATAGTACCTCTTTAATCTGGGAAGCAATAAAAATACTAGAAACTAGAGTTTTAGGGAAGAGTCAACAAAAACTAAAATACAATAGTCCTCAGTTCCTATTCCAGGGCCACATTTTTCTTGGATTATGAGTCATATCCATCTTTTATTTCACAGGCTTCTAAATTCTGATGCCTCAACTTGAGAGCTAATCATCTTTCCTTGTAAGGAAAAGAGAAACAATGTATTTTGGTTCAAAAGTTCCCAGAGATTTCAGTTCTGGTCTGCCACAAAGTTGACACAAAGACGACCTGGACTTTCATAAAACCACACTGCATTTTTTGAACTACTTATTTCATTCAATGGTTGTGACAGTTGGGTTTGTGGTACTTTAAGATCTTACTTGGCAAAAGTCATATACAATAATTGAGTACATGGATTCCCCCATTTGGTGTTGTGGATAACAAACCCTAAATCCTTCAGCCTGGATTCTCCGAAGTTCTTGTTCATTAATTTACTTGCTCCAGTGGCTTGGCAATTTTTTATTCAAGCTAAGAATTTACCCAGGACTTTAAAATTTAAGACTGTCTTCTTGTAGGGTAGGAGATTAAACCAATGAGCTTCTGCACGCTTAGCAAGCAGTCCACAGCTACCTGCTCAGCACAAAGATCTAGATCCTCCTGTCACTTCTCTTCCAGGATTCTGGCATTAGGACCTCACCCTTAACTCACTTTTCAGTAAGCCGGTGAGTTTTACCCGTTGAGATCCTTAAAAGCAAGGAAGTAATTCAGTCCGGGAGTCGTAACCCCGGGCTCTGCCCTTCGGGATTTACTTTGCGCAGATGGCCACATCCTGAGTTTCGCGGGTGGCATGGGGCTATCCTGCGCAAATGCCTACATTTCCATGAAGTCGGAAACGATCTACTCCGGGGCTGTCTGGCTGGGTCGCCGAGCGAGCCTGGCCCCGACGACTTCGAGGGCTCGGGGTTTCCGAACCTGAGGCCCTGCGGAGAGGGTGCGCAGCCCCACCCCATCCAATGTGTTTCATTTCCAAGAACAGGCGCAGTCCCCGCCGCACCCCCGTGTGTGACCGACCCGGATTTTGCCCTTGGATGACCAGGGGGGGGAGGCCGCCACGTCCCGGGCACGGGGGCGGCGGTGGCCGCGCGGGCGGGCAGCGCCCAGGCCCGGGGCACGCGCTCGCCGAGCCGGCTGGGAGGCCCCGCGCGCCGGGCGGCCGGGACGCGGAGCCGCGCGGCGCTCCCCGGGCGCCTGGTGTGCGAGCCGGCCTCGGGGACCGTGAGCCCGGGGGTGGGGACAGTTCCACGGGGAGAGACAGACAGGACACGCCTCAGCCTGGGCAAACACCCGGCCTCTTCTGGCCTCACGCCAGCGAGCCGCCGCCCGCCACCTCGCCGGCTCCGCCATCGTCAGGGCCTGCAGCTTGGCAGCGCCGAGGCGCGGTCCCCCCGGGCTCCCAGCACTGGCGGCGCGGCCAGGACCGGACGGATGTGGCGCATGCGTGGTGGCGCCACGCGACGCGGGAGCTGCGGCGGCGGCGGCGGCGGCGGCGGCGGCCGAGGCGTCGGGGCCGGCCGCGGGCCAGGCCCCCAGAGCCGGGCTCGCGAGGGCGGCGGCGGCGGCGTGGGCTGGCGAGGCCGCGCGGGGGGCTCCCGCCAGCAGCTGGAGGAGCGCTTCGCCGACCTGGCGGCCAGCCACCTGGAGGCCATCCGCGCGCGGGACGAGCGGGACCGGCAGAACGCGCGGCTGCGCGAAGAGAACGCCCGGCTGCGGCTGGAGAACCGCAGGCTGAAGCGCGAGAACCGCAGCCTCTTCCGTCAGGCGCTACGGCTCCCCGGCGAGGCTGGCGACTGCCTGCCCGCCGAGGCGCCGGCAGGCCCGGAGGACGCGGGCGCGAACCGGAGGTCGAGGGGCTGCGGCGGCGGCCAGGACGAGGAGCCCGGCAGCCCCAGGGCCTTGAGGGCGCGGCTCGAGAAGCTGGAGGCCATGTACCGCCGGGCCCTGCTGCAGCTACACGTCCAGCAGCAGGCGCGGCCCCCGCGCGGGGACCAGGACCAGCCGCCTCCGCGGGAACCCGAGGCCCACCTCCATGCTGGGGACCCAGAACCCGCCGGGCCTGGGCTGTAGCCCGGGAGCGCGTCGTGGGGGCGTGGCCTGGGGGCGGGGCGCGAGCAGGCCCCGCCTCCTGCGCGCAGAACCTGGCCGCCCTCAGCCTAGGAAAATCAGAGCGTTGTGTCCGCCCCGCCCACTGGCCTTCGGGCCCCGCCCACCGACGCTTCCTGGTGCATCTTCACTTCTGGAGCACCCGAGCATGTGGTGCTGTACAGTCCAGAGGCTCTCATGATGCCAGGGTGGGTTTCACAACGGGAAGAACTGGCTCCCTGTGGGCACTTCCTCAGTTTTCAACTTTTCTAAGTGTTGTGAGGACCGCTTTATCTTCGTTTTCTCTAGTTTTGACTCTTTGAGAAGTGAGTTGCTCCCATGTATTGAACGTTCTGAAGTTCCTCCAGTTATCTCCTATGTGGCATGGCGGACATTTTGCATATTTGTTTTTTATAGATTGGTATTAATTGGATGTCCAATGAAGTATCTGTCTTTCTTTTACAAAGATCATTTATAACTTATGATGACCCATAACTCCAGTGCACACCCTATACATACACACTGATTGGTCAATGGATAATTTTTAATGATTCTGCTTATATGTCATTATTTTGAACGGGTGAATAAAATCTGGTGCGTCAAAAGTAATCTAAAAGTGTCCCAAGGGTATAATTTGAAGTATGTCCAATTTGTATGTTGGTGTGAGAGATCTATATCATCTTCATATCTGTCTTTGGAGATCCTTTCCAGGCAGCCTTTTTTTTTTTTTAATATGTCATAATCTTTTAAGCAACCTAAAGATTAGTCTGAACATTGTTTCATTACTGTTTCATTTTAGATTAACAGGAGCTTATCGTATAGCTAATTCACTTTGTTTTAAAAACTTTTAATAAATTTCAAATCACTTGTCTGGGAAAACCACCAGAATGATTTATGTTGTTATTTTAGTGGTAGAAAAATGTGACCAGTTTTAACAAATATTTTAAGATCATTTTTATTTCATTTTGTTGATAAAACTTCTTCCTATTAGGTAATGAAGAAAATGTCTGTGTGCCTGTACAGAAAGTTGTGATATCTTTCTTCACCCATCATGAGGTTGGTGGCTGGTACTCTTACATAAACAGACAGGTCAGCAAGAGGAAAGCATCCAGTTCTGTGTGAGCCTTCAGAAATACAAACTTAGCCTATGCCTGTGATCTTTGCTATCCTGGTTCCTGAGACCTGAAGGATTGGGTTTCAAAACCACCCTAGGCTGGAAAGACTGAGAGACTCCATCTCCAGTTATCAGAGTGACAGACTAGAGATGTGGTTCAACTGATAGAAAACTGAGAAACCAAGTAAGCAGCAGCATGGGTTGGTGACCCAAAGTTGAAGCTTAGATACTTGTACCTCCTTTCTCCCACTGCAAAAGAAATTAAAAACTAACCACACAAGGACAAGTAAATTTATGTGATATATGCAAGCTGCATAAATGACCCACCAGGTAGAAGTGTGATTGGAATAAGGAAATCTAGTTGGAGTTGACAATTTTTAGAAGGAAAGTTGGTTGCAGGGATTGTGATACAGGGGTGAAATTGATGCATATCTTGTAAACACCTACAGATATGTAGCAGTGAAGCACTCACCCCCAACGTAACTGACATAAACCAATAAATAGTAATGAAACATAACAAAAAGAAGTGTGATTGGACTGAAAGGTATATGGATTTAAGGCAATTGGCTGAAAGGGAAAAGAAACCTAGCAAGCCCTGGGTTATACCTTCCAGTTATAAGGCACGATCTCTTCTAGAATGAAGGTCTTATAACCTATTATCAGACAGTGTAAGGCAGAATTCTTTTTATGTCATCTCTTAAATGGAAAGGCATGGGAAGGTTAGAGTAATATTTCTACTTTTTATAGCTGTCTTTGTGGGAAAAGGGCTTCAGTTAGTATAATCTACCTTGAGGAAAAGAGAATGCCAGTTTCTGTAGTTTGCCTCAGGGAAAGAGAAAGTGGTGAAAGATGGACAGGAGAAGGTCAGAAAGAAACTTTGTTTCTAAGACCTTTCCAGTGTCTTTCAAAGCACCATTCTTTAAAGTATTGTTTTATTATGAGTCTTCCCAAATCCTGGACTTCAGAAAGCATTAAAGTAATGGAAAACACATCAAGGGAACAGTATGAAGAATAGGGTTGTTAGAGAAATAAAATGTGTTTTGGTTGTGTGTGTGTGTGTGTGTGAGAGAGAGAGAGAGACAGAGAGATTCCAAATGTTCTAATATGCACTACAAATACTCATTACAAAATAAGGCTGCAGGGAGTTATTATAGTGATTCTTTTAGTTTGTTATTTTCTTTTACACAAAGCAATAAGAATTTTTTTTCCACCTGCATCTTCCAGCCAGAAATGACTTCAAGACAGCATCCGCTCATCTAGGATGTTGTTCTGAGTTTTAAAAAACACTTTCTATTTTGCTTGTAGGTAATTGATAGTGAGTTGTGAATATTAAAATCTTCTCCTGTGGCCAAAATAATATGAAAATAAATTTGTTATTAGAAGAGTTATGGAAATTCATCCTGACTTACTTTATATCATTTTCTTTCTATTGGTCAGCCATGGGGCCTGAACTCTGGGCCTGGGCACTGTCCCTGAGAGCTTCAGCTCAAGGCAAGTACTCTGCCGCTTGAGCCATAGTGTCACATCCAGTTTTCTGGTGGTTAATTGGAGATAAGAGTATCACCTACTTTTCCTGCCTGGCTTGGAACCATGATTCTCAAATATCAGCCATCTGAGTAGCTAGGATTACAGGCCACCAGCTCCTGGCTACATCATTTTCTTAAGAGAAAAAAAAAAAAGATAAAGAACATTTTTAGGAGACAGTAGAATTTGAGAATCAAAGAATAAAGTTCAAATTAAGGTAACTAAAGTTTACTTTAATCTTTCTAAGCAATACTTTTCTATTCATTGCAATGAATAGTGGCCTTCCACTTCAATCCTAGCTACTTGAAAGAAAGATAGGATTGTGGTTCAGGCTAGGCAAGTCAAAAACTGTTAGCAAGATCTTACATCAAATAACAAACCAGAAGTGGTGGAGCACACCTGTAATCTTATTTAGGTGGGTGGAAGAGATAGAATTCTCAATGGAAGGCTAACCTAGACAAAAAGTCTTAGGCCCTATCTTAAAAATAACTGAAGCAAAAAGGGAGAGGGTATGGTTCAGTTGGTAGAGTGCTTGTCTAGCAAGCTTGAGGCCTTCAATTTAAACTGCAATACCTAAAAAAGAATTTTTTAGAAAGTGTGTGTGTGTGTTCAGTTGGTGAGAATTTGCAATCCAAAGCATGAAAACTATCCATAAATGCTATTGTCCTTATTTCCATACAGGTTGCACTCATGAAGCCTTTCACCCAACATTATAGTGGGGATTAGTGTGCCAGTATGTGAATTGTATGGGAAAAAAATCAGTCTATTGTATAGGTTGATACTGAATAGTACATTAAGTCCTTATTCTCACCTAAAATATATTTCATGAGATTCTATCTTCATTTTCCCCTTAAGAGATCAATATATATATACATATATATATGTATATGTATATATGCAGTACATTTAGACTGTTTTCTTTATATGGTGAAGCTAAGAAAGTATTAAAATCTGTCTCATCAACTGTCAGTGAAAATCTATGTCTTTAAAACTGCATTTCAAAATGACTTGCTTAACAGTAACCAGAACCATCCTTACATCTACACAGGCCAGAGCCCTGGGACCATCTATGACACCACAATATGTATGTATGTGCGTGGATGCATGCATACCACACATGGAAGAAGTTATAAGTTTTTCCCCCCATCCCCAAACTTTTATACTTTTTCCTTTCTTGTTTGTATTGTTGTTATTGCACAATTTCACTGGGTAATCTTTCTGGGGGAAAATATTAAAAAATGGTTATAAGTGGTAAGTAATTTGTTTTTGTTGTAATAGGAATGCTTTGGCTTTATCATGTTATGAGAGTCTTCAGTTTCTTATTTTTAAGTTAATATCTTGGCTATATTTCCTCTTGTTTAATGGAATAATTTTGCTTTTACCTCTTTGGCAAAACAGCTTAAATAGAGTTGGAGTTTTGCATTACAATTTAATTTATATAAAGCACATACAGAGTTTTACATTAAAAACTTGTCTTTTATATAAACCAGATATTACTACTTAATTGAGACATTGACAGGAAAAAAAAATCACAAGAATCTATATAAGGGGACGTTAAAACTGATAAACTAGTATGGTGGGTTCTTGTTCTCTGAGGGTATATAAATTGTGGAAGGATAGATAGCAAACAGCCTATTAAACAAAGCAGGAAGTAAAGGCCACTCAGAAGAATGAGCATGGAAGCCAAAACTGGTTTTCTACCTTGTGGTCCTGGATTGCTGTTTTTTGCTGTATCTCCCCCATACACACAACTTTTTTTTTAATTTCCCTTTAGGCAATTTGTCAAATCATGATTGGTTAATTTAAAACAAGCAAGACACCTCCCTCTCCCCCAGACCAGTATGGTGACTGAGACCTTTTTTCCCTCTCAGTTTCATAAAATTCTAAAAAATAGTTTTGGAGAATATATTATGACTCATGATGGTAAAACATTTCTTAAGCAATACATACCAGAAACTAAGAGATTATTGCTTTGACTAATTTAAATAAGGAACTTTCCTCAAAAATAGGCATACATTGATTTGTGTATGTTAACTGGAAGAAGACAATTAGAAAATATAAAATGGGCAAAAAGCTTAGAGCTATTAGAGCTAGATGCATTGAGAGCTCCTATAAATCAATAATAAAAAGAAAAGCTACCCATTAGAGAAAAAGGCTAGCAAAATAAAAAAAAAACCTTAAAAATCCTCTATATTAGAGGAGAACTGATAATAAATATAAGGGAAATATTTAAATTAACAACAATATAAAATAAAACTAATTTTTCCTGTTAAGTTTTTTGTATTTCATAATTTTAATAGTCTTCAATTCTCTATTTGGAGAATCAAAAATGCATGAATATATTTAAAAATCTTTTGAAACATTCTACCTAGTGGTATGCTTATATTTAGCATCAAATCTTAATTTTGGATCAGAAATGCTGTATATAATTTTTTCTCTTATTTTATCATTTGCAACTAGGTATTTTGGAGGTCCTCTCTCCCTCCCTCCCTCCCTCCCTTCCTTCCTTCCTTCCTTCCTTCCTCCCTCCCTCTCTCCTTCCCTCCCTCCCTCCCTTCCTTTCTTTCTTCCTGTCCTGAGGCTTGAACTCAGAGCTTGGGATGCTGTCCCTGAGCTTCTTTTGCTCAAGGCTAGCTTGAGCCATAGTGCCACTCATTGCTCTTTCTGAGTAACTTTTGGAGATGAATCTCATGGTATTGGAGATGAGTTCCATGGTATAATGGTGAGCACTCTGCACTCTGAATCCAGTGATCCAAGTTCAAATCTTGGTGGCACCTTGCTGTTTAATTTGAGGAAATGCGATTTTACAATGTATGGGGGGAAAAGTCTCTTGGATTTCCCTGGCTGGGCTGCCTTCAAACTATCTCTGTCCCCTGAGTAGCTAGGATTACAGGCATGAGCCACTGGTGCCTGGGTGGTCCTCTGGGTTTTATTTGATATATAATGAATACTAAGAAAGGCAAGTTTATTT